AAAAGTAAGAATACGATATTTTGTGCATTCATGGACATCAAATCCTCTCCTATTAAACCCTTCATTTTTCCAAACAAATTATTTAGGTTTTTTGCGGTAATCTAATAATTATAAGCAAAATAGATCAAAATATCTACTACACGACCCGTATTTAACAAATACCCCAAATCCAGGTAACCTTCGCTCTCGTAAGAAAGTGAGAGTGAGAGACCAAGTAGCTTAAAGGACCATTAAAAGATCAATTAATTAATCATGTTCAAGTCGTGCAATATAATAATGAACTCGTTATTAAGAAGAGCTGCGACTATACGAACGCCCTTGGTGACTGTAGACAGGAGATTAAGTTACGTCGATAGAGTGAGATATCTGCAGGTGGGGAACCCTTTCTTACGAAGCTCTCATTTATCTGTTTGTTATTAATATTATCTGTTGAATAATTGTGAAGAAATAGAGTGTCATTTGGATGTTTTTTTCTAGAATAGGTCCTCATGTCAGAACGTAATGGCTTTGGTGTTTAGAGACTCCAGTTAATTTAGACTAAGTACAATACCATTAGTCAGCAGAACCAGTAAACACGGGATAGTACGGTACAGAAAGGAGTGTAAAATTATGTGTATGTAAATGTATATAAAAAATCTATTTACATTTTTATCTTCAGCTAATTACTCATTTACTTTGGTTTAGTTTTATCAATTTAATTTGGTTCTTTTATTTCAGAAACTAAAAGAAGAAGACACAGTTTGCTTATCACAAGTGCCCAGAGGCAAGTTTCTAGTCTACAGCCGCAGTAAACCCCTTATACGTGTGGATAAAGCCAACACTGATAATGCTCTTGTGTGGTTATCATATGGAGGTATGTACCAGAAGAAAATGTCTCACTGTATATATAAGAAAAGACATTTTGTGACTTGTATCATTTATGAATAATGTCATCCCATGGTTGGTAACTGTATTTAACCCCTTGGTGCCGGGTGACGCTGATTGGCATGAAAACAAACCGCTTGAAAGCTGGTGTGCAGCCGTACGCCGCGGCGACGCGCCAAATCGCGGCGAGCCAGTGATTCGGGCGGTGCTCAAAGTTGGCACGCCGCCTTTGTTTGCTAGAGCGTATAGTTTTTTTTTTTGTTTTGTACACCCGGCGTCATTGGGTTAATACCAATGTTTTCAAGTTTCATGATAGATTTTGGTCTTTGATATTTCAAGAGCTTTATTTTACACAAGTTAACAGAAAATGTATGTTTCACTGTCACATATAGAACTATGTTCGGTTACTTTAGCATCAAACATACTAATGAAATATATGTAAATAGTGAAAAGATACCAGACTATATTATGGTTACATTTTCCACAAAGGTAATGGGGGAGAGAAAAGGATAGTGTGGTTTTGGCTGGATGAAATGTACTGTACGAAGAATAGTATTTCACAGTCACTTTCATTCATTCACAATATAAAAGAAGTGGGAAATATAAATATATAATTCATCCTAGTAGAGAAATGGGGACAAAGGGATGGCTGGTAAGATGGGTGTGGCAAGAAGGAACTTAACAACATGACAATTTACACATTTCATTTGCAACAAAAAATCATAGGAAAACAACCCTCCATTTTTTAACAAATCTTGCATGATGATGCCATAGTTTTGGCAATAGGATTTTAGGTTTTAATTAGAAGAAGATAAAAAGGTTATGTTAACCCAATGCTGACAGGCATGAGGTGTACACATATGCCATGCCCACTGTGAGTTTACTTTTTAATTGGTTTTACACATAGATGGTCACACTTGAACTAAGTCACCAATGAGCCAATTACGAGTACTGCCTATCTTGCCCGTTTACCCTTTTCTTTGATTTACAAAAATATTTTACATTATCTTATTTTGCAGTTACTAATGTTTATGACCTTATAGTTATTATAATGTATGTGATAAAAATAACACCATTGATATTTATAGCATCAGTAAAAAAAAGTCTTTCCCACCAATTCAAGAAAAGGAATCAGGTCACAAGGTCTACTAATTGACTCCTTTGTGGCTAAGCACTAGCAGAGCCATCTATGTGCAGACATTTCACAAAAATAGTAAAAATGAGCACAGCATTTTCCCCATTTTTCATTAATTTCCCCTGGTGGCATTGGGTTGATAAAGATGTAATCTGTGTTAATTTTGACATGTAGAAAAAGGTATTTGATGGGAATGAATATCTTCTTAGCACAAGGGATGGGCAGATATTCATTCTCATTTGTACCTTCTCTTTTTTTTACATAATGTAATAAACTTTGCTGTAATGACAGTGCAGTAATGTAAATGTAGTAAAGGGGACTGATATATTTTTCAGATTTGTGTCAAGAATAATATAGTTTTTAGTTTGGCATGCAGAGCCACTTGAACTTTATTGGTCAATGAAGACTCATGACAGTGCTAAAATAAATGTATTTTTTTTTATACCATTGTTTGACATTTTGCACCCCAGTTTCATGTAGAATTAAGTGTTGGCTTTTAAT